GATCCTCCGCGGTGGGTGGCAGCGTAGCGGTCAAGTATATCATCTGAGCCTGAGCCACGATTAAACGGCCTAGCTGGGCCATGGCGGGCCGGAAATTGGCCTGATCATTGAGTACCACGTGGCATTCGTCTATCACGATCCGATCAAGCCGATGGCCGAGACGCTGTCGATTCAAAAACGTCATAAAATCCTCTGTAATGGCCGATTCGGGTGTCACGAGTACGATGGATGCCTGATCGGCCGGCCGACGGCTCTCCCACTCTACGCACGAGATGCCGAGTCGCTGGCACCGCTGGACCATGTCTCCGCGTAATGCAATTAGCGGCACGACCACCACCGTCACCCCACGGGGGCTGATCCACGCGGGTAGCATGAATAGCAAGCTTTTGCCACCCCCTGTTGGCATCACTGCCACTACCGGACTCTGGCCCTGCTGAATAGCTTCCAACGCCGGTGCTTGTACCCCCCGAAGCCGCACCGCGCGATTCCCCATCATTCGTTGTATTTCGGGCTCTATAGCCGCCTGGGTTAGTTGCCATCGACGTTCTATACGGCCCATTTCGGCTTCTTTTTGCCACGGCGAAAACTGGCCCAGTCCTAATGCGCTCTCGGCACCCCCGTCATCCGTGGACACAAACCCTAAAAACCGATGCCAATCGGTGCTGCTGAGCCGAAACATCTCTCGCCGGTGGGCCGTCGTACCGGGCTGTTCGGTGATCCCACGGCCGTAAATCATGCCGGCCACGTGGGATGAATGGGCCGCTTGCAAATCGGCAATGTGGCCCATCCATTGCTCCGCATTCATGCTCTCTTCATCATCCTCTTGGGATGCCTCCGCTCGTACGTCCTGACGCGTGTTGTTCGGGAATACACTGGATGGCCGCATAAACCGACGGCTAATGCCAATAGCAATATCACGATACGCGTTCAAATTGATGGCGTGCCCATTAAGTCCAATGGTGGTTTCACGCTTCAGCACTTCACGGAGTCGTTCGGATGACCAATCCCGGCCGGTACTGGGGTCGGGGGACCATAAAAACGCCTGTCTCTGATGACTGATTGGAATTAGCATCGAAACGTGATATAACGGATCAGTAGCTAGTGGCCTAATAAACTCAGTATATATAATGGAAAACCCAGTAATTCCGATATATAACGCTTCAGTGGCCAGTTGCCCAATAAATCCGGTATATATAATGGAAACCCAGCAATTCCGATATATAACGCTTCAGTGGCCAGTTGCCCAATAAATCCGGTATATATAATGGAAACCCAGCAATTCCGATATATAACGCTTCAGTGGCCAGTTGCCCAATAAATCCGGTATATATAATGGAAACCCAGTAATTCCGATATATAACGCTTCAGTGGCCAGTTGCCCAATAAATCCGGTATATATAATGGAAACCCAGCAATTCCGATATATAACGGATCCGTGGCCAATGGACCACATGACTTACACTTCAATTTCGGAATGGCCCATCCTCCGCACCTTCTCCACGTACGCCTCCAATCTCTCGACAAACGGCAGTACTAGCCACAAATACCAGACCACTAATTCACCGACTTCTCGGGGTAAATACCGATGAATCACCTTGGTGTCATTCGATGCGTAAAACCCTTTGTGATACTGCGTCACAAATGCCACTAGCCCATCCTCGATGAAAATATTGCGATGGCCGCCGCTATTCGTATTATAATGTCGAATACTTAGTAGCTCTGGGGCACGTGCTGGCTGGCCCCTACTGACATGAACGGCAATAGCAAGCTTCTCCCGAAAATGGGCCACCCGTTGAAGATACACGTCAATCGCCGTCATTCGTAGCCGGCCTATATTGCTTTCAATAAAACGATGCCGTAGCGGTCCGTTTCGCACCTGATTCATCATCTATTCACTGCCAGCCACGGGCCACGGCGTACGGGTGTCATTCAAAAAACTCCATCCCTGGGCCGTCTCTGTGGGATTATCGCAGATATCCTGCCACGGAATCGCGGGAACTGACCCAGTCTCCATGCTCAATAATAGCTCGTCACGGAGTATTTGCCGTGTCGAACTAATCAGCCCGTGGACAAAACCCCGGAAGTCCCCTATGGAAAAGTTGTATTGCTGATACAATAGCTGATCTTGATTCATCCAGCCAACGTGGCCAGTTGTCGTGCTATTATAATGGATCTTTAAGCCGTAAGTACGGAGATCCAACAGCCATTGCATCGGGCTATTCGTTCCACGGACCATAAATTGACTGACTATTTCAGCCACCCACTCACGAAATGACCGCTGGCCCTGCTAAGCCTGGCTGAATTGGACAAAATGGGATGACTGGGTCGATACTAGAACTAGGCCAGTCTCGAAATTGTAAAAGTCGTCGTCCGACGTCGGCGGCGTCAAAAATGCGAATTCAGGTGAATCTAGTGGACTTTCGGTATCCCATTCGCCCGCCATTTGATGCTCTGTAAGCTGTGACAGTATTGCCTCCGCTGTCGGATCGAGCTTCAACGCCTTGTGGACCACCATAAACCGTGCGATCTTAATAAGCTTCGATAAAATAGGTGGATAGCTCTGCGCGGTACGCCAGCCAGCCTCGCCCTGACCAAGCACTGCCGTGGCACAAATCAAGGCACTTTCGTAGTCTTCCACCTTGGTCCGATGGTTCAGAAGCTCAATACAAAAGTCTAGACACGAGGTGTCAATGGGCGCTAGTTGAAACGGCGAGTTGCTATTGATGCGTCGATTCGCTATTGATTCGCTGGCGATTCGCTGACTATTATCATCTAAACCGGCCCTGTCGGAACTAGCACTGACTGGACTAGCTGGACTAGCTGGCGCGCTGAATCCTGGCTGGGCCAGTTTCCAAAGCGAATTCCACGCTAAACGCTGGCGTTTCGAAAACCGGTAATACGGACTGGCCCATTCGTGCGACGCCTGCGTACGTACGAAAAACATCAAGATTTGCTGCCATGGGATCGTATGTCTCTCGATATTCTCGGCATCTATGTACGCTTGCAATAGCTGATGCGGCAATCGGTCCCGCTCCGTACGGACGGCCTCGGTGCGAATGGAATGGCTAGTTTTCGTACAAATCAACTGGCTGATTCGGGCTACTGTAGCCATTGAATCCCAAATAGCGGAAGCAGCTAATTCGGTCGAATCGGCCGATTCGGTATCGGGTGCCATAACGCTGTCTCGCAAGTCTTGGGGGTCGATTCCACGTAGATACACGGCCCACTGGGTCCGTCGAAGCCATGGATTCGCGTCGTCACGCTGACTAGCCTCGATCAACTGGGGCTGTTCTTGTTTTTCGATGAATGCTTGTTCGATCTGATCCAAAACCTGATCACTGAGTACGGTCGGTGCCGATTCGGCCTCGGGGACTGCCTCTGCTCCGACTATACGTACGCGGATATAATGAGACCCTGGCCCCTGGGCAAACGCGCGCTGGCATTGGACCGTAAGCGTAAACTGCTGAATCTGCTGCTCGGCGGCCGATGGCCCTGGCGGCTTTCTACCACCGCCATAGTTGATGGGTGCAGTCCAGCTATGTTGATCACGCCAGTGCTGGCGTATAGTCTTAACGGTTCGTCCGATAAACTGGCAAGCTGGGTCTTTTCTACACCAAAGACCGTCGGAGTAAACTGGTAGATTGGGGATTGGCTCGTCTATAATAGCGGGAACGTCCCACTCGATACATTGCTGAATACTGGGCTATTGCTATATCTGAGTGTAGATACTCTGTGCATTTGCGCTGTTTAAACGATAGTATGATCCCCGGAGGTGTTGGGTAATAAACTACGGCCTGACTACGACCTTGCATTTCTTATAAATGATGACTAGGGCAGTCGAAGGCTAGTGAAATATTTCGAGTTCTATGTTTAGTACTCGCAGAGATATTGTACGTAGATGGAATAGGTGAAATCGTGAAGACTGATCATCTATATAAAGCCCCTGAATCACTGAATAGTCCGGTGTAAGATACGAATACAGCGTAATCTATTTAGTAGTGGCCGCCATACTTAAGGCTAATACAGTGCTTACGGTATTAACACCCGTCGGTCGCACCCCATCAAAATCTTTCCCCCGTGAATTTCAATCATCCACCACCCCCGATTCTGTGGCTCGATCGCTCTAAAAATTGCACTGTGTATCGCAGAACTCGTGAGATAGAACGTGTCCGATTTTGAGCGCGATCGGACGACCGGGAGACGGTAGCAGTACGAGACACGCACCGATGCGTCTCGGGGGACGCACCGACAGCCAATCGGACGGCCGGGATCGCAAGTCAGCCCCCGACTGGGCGGCGCATAGGGTCTAGGGGTATTATAGCGGAATAGTGCTAGTCGAATTGCTAGTCACGATATACAGCGCGGGTAAACTATCGCCGGTTCCGCTATTGCGTCGTATTTGATATTTGTTTTGCCTAAGTAGACGTGTATATTCGCGGTCGTCCTCGTTTTCGTGTTAGAGCGTCTAATAGTGGTGCTATAATAAGCTAGTGGGGGTATTCTCGATACGAACTTCTGCAGCGAGAAAGGCCTCTATTTTTTTAATAATACGAATAGGGGCCCCGAGAAAATCCAGTCAGCATAGCAATCGAACGTAAAATCGAATCTATTAGATAAAAGTAAGTTGTGTTCCGAAAGAGGTTTAGTTTTGACCACGAAATTCAAAAAGGGTTTAGTTTTGACCACGAAATTCAAATAGGTTTAGTGTATGCTTATATCAGCGTATTAGCCTCAAATATGATCAGATTCAAACGACCATAACTCTATGAATATTCAAGTTATCGAAATAAACGTTGAATATTCGGAATGCCACGGTAATTCTCTATACGCACAATATATATTTTAACTCTTTTAAAGCATGGTTGCGCTAAGTCGTGGTCATGATTTCGTATATGGTAAGCAAATATCACGTCTCCCATCCACGTGAGCCTGTGCGGATACACACTTACGGAGTAGAGTGGAAAACCGAGTTCCCTGAATGGGCAAAAACGTTACCCCGCATGGAAGACGAGAGTAAACTCTCTGTGGAGGAATACGAATCCATGTGTGCTCAAGTGGAAGCGTACATTCAACAGCCTAATTCCAAGGACGAAGTATTCTGGCCTATGTTAAAAACACGACACATCCCGGAGGATTGGAAAGTCCGATGGGGTCTACTTCGGACAGCTTTGAATAAGTATGCTTGCACTTTTGTCTTTGAGCACTCGGATCTAGGAACATCATACTCTTATGCGGACTGGAAAGCTGGGAGGACCCAGAATGCAATTGTTGGCCCACCGCACAACGACCATGTCTGCCGCCCGGATTTCAAACGGTCTCAATTCATGGAGGAAAACCCCTGGCTAGTCTATCTTGAATAGATGTATATGCCAAAGGAAGAGGGATATACCAACCATGAATTCTACACGGTTGCATTGTAGGATGAGTTTCGGCAGTAGGGTCTTTAGGTCGTCGTCCGGGTTCATAGCATAGAGTTAGACCCTAAGACGCCAAGCTTCGCTAGAGAAGAGTGGCACACCGAAGGAAACGCAAATGAGTATATAGTCGCCAACTCTATCTATGCGCTTAGCTCAGAAAATATATCCGAGCCGTAAATCAGCTTTAGACAGCGGTGCAGGCTAGGTAGTCCTTAGGTCTACGACCGAATTAGCCCTTGGGATTCCAACGAGGACAGCGACGATAACGATCCTGCGTTATACTTCAAGAATTCTCACTAGGACCTCAAGTATATAGAGATACTTCTCGGACGTGAAAACATCCAAAGTAGTCTAGTATTGCAAGAGCTTGGGGAGGTGAAAATGCCTGTAGGCCGCCTGATCTCCTTCCCTAACGCTTTCTAGAGCCGAATAGGCCCGTTGCAGCTTGAGGATAAGACCAAACCCGGCCACTGCCGTTTTCTCACTTTTTCCCTTGTCGACCCGACCTACCGGCTTTGTTCTACTCGCAATATTCTGCCCTAGCAATTTGATTGGATAATAGGCGATAGCGTCGGCTCTATACCACCGATAGATACAACTGAGGCCTTAGAGCTGAGAGAAGAATTGGTCAAGGAACACGCCAAAAAAGAAGAAGGTGTTCCTGAGCTTGCTAGAACACTCTACTTTTCTGGATATTCGTGAATGCGAGGGGTAGCCAATCGAAGTATACACACTTTTTTGCTCTGATAATATATATTCCATTTCATACCTACACTCACTACCATGTGTACCAACTGAGAATTTCAAGGTTGCTTATCGCAATGTATGTGGGTAGCTATATTACTTTTTACCGTTCCTGATTAAATCATGGTACTTGAGGTCGTTAGTAGACCTCGGCAAGGACCGGGTCCGGTCCTAACTTTGAGGACCGGGACCGGACCATGCGGTCTTTGGTCTTTTTTCAAAGTAGTCAGGACCGCACCACGGTCCCCCGTGGTCCTTTGCGGTCCCCTATGCGGTCCCCCGCAATTTCATAATTATGCCAAGACCTTCCTTGTTTGGTCGTATAAACTGATTATTCAGCCACGTTTTTTACCGTTATTTAACACTGTTCTGGTATCTACACAAATTTTGATAATGAATCAGGTCTAACAATCAATAAAACAGTTGAAACTACCTTGTATCTGATTTCATAAAGCTTGGTATTAAGTTAATTACGAATGAACTTTCGATTTCGGACTGTTGTGGTTGACATTTTAGAATTTACTTCTGATCATGCAAAGATATATATATTTTCTACACCGGAGCACTTGTACGCTTAGGAAGAGTCATGACCATTAATATCCCTAGCCTAGATTTCTAACGGCCGTCAGAATTTAAGCCTATCTATTGCCTAGAAACTGTTGATATCCCCACTAGATTTCTGACGGCCGTCAGAATTTGAGCCTATCTATTGCCTAGAAACTGTTGATATTCCTACTAGATATCTAACAGCTATTATCATTTAGGCCGATTTATATACGTTGGATATAGATTATTTGTAGGATCTAATAAGCTCTACTAGTTCTTGCGGTCTTTTGGCGGTCCGTTAGCGGTCCTTATACGGTCTCTATACGGTCCTCGTGGTCTTTTAGTGGTCCTTGCGGTCTTTTGGCGATCTATTAGCGGTCCTTATACGGTCCTTGCGGTCCTTATACGGTCCTTGCGGTCCTTATACGGTCCTTGCGGTCCTTATACGGTCCTTGCGGTCCTTATACGGTCCTTGCGGTCCTTATACGGTCCTTGCGGTCCTTATGCGGTCCTTACGGTCCTTATACGGTCCTTGCGGTCCTTATACGGTCCTTGCGGTCCTTATGCGGTCCTTACGGTCCTTATACGGTCCTTGCGGTCCTTATACGGTCCTTGCGGTCCTTATGCGGTCCTTGCGGTCTTTATACGGTCCTTGCGGTCTTTATACGGTCCCCGCGGTCTAAGACCGCATAGATCTAAGTAGAGTGGGTCTTATCAGCCAATTACGGTCTATAATCTAGCCTATTCTATCTAAAATCATTTTCTTGAATATAAATACCCCTTAGGATTCTTTTGCCTAGATAAAAGATAATAGTATGTCTTGACCATCACTCTAAAGCCACACTACCCAATATCTATTAATTATTCATCAATATGTCACAGAGCCACGTATCCCAATTCTCGGATAATTATCCCTTATCTATCTTTGAGGACAACCTAGTTGATATACTCTCTTTCCTTACATCTAATAAGCTATTTAACCTAGACGGAGGCGTAACACTAATATCTACTCCTAGTGTAGCCTTTACACGACCGGTAGTACCTATCCCGATTCCACAAACTCTTGAGCGTATTAGTCTATTTAGCAAGAAGAACTATATCCTTTGGACAGAGATGTTTAACGAGGATTTTGTCGCTTGGTGGCTAAAAACCGAGTATAGAAGTGTAACAAAACGGAATATCTTTGATGGTAAACGGCTAGTAGGCTCTTGGGAACACTTCTACTAGGTTGCTATAATCTCTGATAGATCCCCTAAGGTGATATATAAGTAGTATGATTATATCCTTGCTTATCCTATAGACCGGCACCGGGGAATATCTACTATGAATAGGCATTTCTCACAAGCCGCTACCTATCAAAAGGGAAGGAGTAAGACATAAGATATCAGAGAGATGATCTCGAATAGGGTATAAATACTATCTATAAGGCTTACTTTATACTAACTTATATAGTTCTCTATAGACAAATCTTCCCTCCCGTAAATAGGGGTTTTTACCAGGAGCTTGGATAGATAGGTTAACCACCTTTATTGTTGCTCTACGCCTACTATTCTAGCTTATTGAGCACCCTAAATTTCGCGCCCTTATCGAAATGGCTTCCTCTGCCCTATCTATCCCTGAAATACCTAGTGCTAGGACTATCCGTCGGTATCTTTAGGAGATAGTCAAGGAACGTTAGGATTCTCTGCTTCAAACCCTCCTAGAGGGCGCTAAGCTTTCTATAGCATTGGATTGCTAGACCTCCCTATTTCGTTAGGCGTTTATGGCAGTTATAGGCTACTTTATCGACCTTTAGTGGAACTACCGTGAGATCTTACTCGGCTTTGAACCTCTTCGTGGCTCCCACACTAGCGCCTATCTTAGTAGTATCCTACTTAAGCTACTTAAGAAGTATCAAATTACTAATCGTGTGCTTACGATTACTACCGATAATATATCGAATAACGGTATATTACTAACTACTCTCGAAGAGGCTGTTTCGTCTCTTAAGCTTCTAAGTCATATACCGATCATTCGTATACTATGTATTGCATATATTATATAGCTTAGTCTAAAGGAGCTTCTTGGTTAGATAGATATAAACCCACAGAATAATAGGGAAGAAATAGAGTAGGCCGATTAGAGATATACCGCCCGTCAAGAGAATAGAAGGATTGTGCAAACCCTCAACAAAGTATACTACCCCCTCCTTTTTCTACTATCGTATCTCTATTTGATACTAACTATATAATATCCTTTAGGTTCGTAAAATTGTAGTCTATATCAATAAAAGCCCCTAGCGCCGCGAGAGCTTTATTGGACTTTAGACAAAAGAACCGAAACTTATGCCAATACAAGATGTCCGAACACGCTGGAATTCCACGTTTCTTATGCTTCGACGCGCACGTCGGCTATAGACTATATTTGATGGATTTTGTGCACAATTTAATCTGACTGATATAAAGATAGATAAGGATAAATAGCGATAGGTTGATTATCTACTATCAATCACCTATCCCTTCTTTAAGTTCACTTTATCTTTATTAGCTATAACTAATATGACTATCTATAATATGTTTAGAATCTACAATGCCTTGTTTACCTATATTGATAAGGCAAAGGCGTAGCTAGCACGAAAGAAAGTTGGGTGGAAGAAAGTAATAAAACTAGCGCTCGAGCATAGGCGCGATAAGCTTGCGGAGTATTATAGCAAGACTAATGATGTTCCGAATGATCTCTATGCAATTAGGACTATCTTAGGCCCACGAAATAAGCTTGAGTTCTTCTTGACACTAGAATAGGAGAAATACTAGGCACCGCGGTATAAGGAGTCCCTCGAGACTTATATCTAGCCTTACTAGAAGCGCTATATAGAGGCATAGACAATATCAAGTTCCTAGTCAATAAGTAACGATATCTCTAATATTGATATACTTCTAAGACCTACTACCTCTATCTAGTCAAGACCGACTACTCTAGATAAACTTATAAGGTATCTTAGAAGTAGTAAGTTTAATATCCCTCTCTCCTATTGTATATCAAATCTTTGTTTTTGCTAATTTTATATCTCTCTAGGTACTATCCAATCAACACCCCTAGTCTTCTAGAAGGCTTATAAGGCAGAGTATCCTATCTTAGCAAGCCTTGCCCAAGATATCCTTATAACTCTAGCTAGCGGCTCTAGGGTAGAGAGACTTTTTAACTCTGCTCGGGATATATACCACTATCGCCGGGGCTTATTAAGACCATAGACTATTTAGGACCTAATGATGTTCATATATATAACTAGATTTGATATATAGTCTAAGTAGCTTGCGCTAGTAGATAAGTTCCTCTCTACCCAAGAGAAGTATTCGAAGAAGGAGTAGGATAATGCTAAGCAAGAGGATAAAGAGTTTGATCCTATTAGCGATAACGAGGAAGATCTTACAATAGAAACTTCTGCAGAAGTATCTATTGAGTAGCCTAGCCTACGAGCGCTAGGGAAGAGAAGGGCTATTGATAATGATAAGATCCCTCTACCTGATTTTGACATTTAGAGGCGTTCGTTAGGGCGTATTCCAAAGAGACTGAGATATGATACGGATTTTGTATATAATTAATAGATATAAAGGACAATTGATCCTTTCAACATGAATCATGCATATAAGTAATTTCTAGAAAAGTACTCAAAA